CTTGGGAATTGACTTGTCAAATCACACTTACACTAAAATACATACTCTTAAATAATGATGCTTTGGGTTTTTACCCACAAAAGATTATGCCCAAATAAATCTGTTAGTCTTTAAGATACCACAAGACTCCTCAGTCTTTTTAAAATTATTTAAGTTACTAAACAGTTGATCCATTCAGCCATATCCACGTCTTCATCTTCAACATTTTCTCCCAATAAACAGTTTTCTTTATGATGTTTCATGCTTGCAACTAGGCCCTGCATCATCATCTATCACTGCTTACACTTGACAAGTTTTCCATTTTTATCCAGGGAATTTCTTCAAAATATTCCCATATAGGGCCTCTTCTAGGTGTAGGACACTTTTTCTATGGCAAAAAAAGTATGGGGGAATATAGAAAGCTGGGTGCTGAATGTCTTTCCTCTTTCTTTCCAGTTCACTGCACTGTTCCTTTTTGTACTGTCTCTGTCCTTTCCTATATATTGTCTCTCTATCTTAAGACAATGTTTTAACTCCTCTGCCATGCTTAGCCAAGATCCACTACCACTTAAGCACAGATCAAAAAACTATCCAGCTTCTATCTCTCTTTGCACATGTTATATTTTAGTCTGCTGAGAAACAGAAACTGAAAGCCCAGAACATTCAAGATGCAAGAGTTGATAAGCTGGAGAGACTAGAGTCATTAATTCATTTTTATGAGACTGTAAGTGTAGCAGGTTTGTGATTTAATTGTAAGTGTTATTTTTAAAGGAGAACTGTAGCGTTTTACTGATGATTTTAAAGAAATAAAAAATCCAATTTAAATTAAAAAATCTGATTGAAATAAAAAAAGTGTTTTTATTTTTAAAAATCATAAATTTTTATCCACCCTGATTTTTTTCTAATTAGATATTACTAGTTTTATTTGATTGCATTATACAAAATTCTTCAAAATTTTAAATGTAAGCATTTTTCTTTCATTTTGATTTTTACAAAAGAAATATAATAGGATCATTTTGACAGATACTTTGATTAAACATTTGTATGTGGCTGATTCTAGTCTGGTATCAGAACAGAATTACAATTATGCAACACTTTTTTTCTGTGCCTGGCAGCATAGCTCAGATATGCTTGTACAGGTTCATCTCACCTAATTTATAATCCATAGCCAAGACTTTTATTTCTATAAGGACATTCATAGCTACCAGATCTTGTAATCACTGTTTAATAAATAATGCTTGTGACAGCGTTTCCATTTTGCAAATAAGTTAGTTCGACTGCAGAAAAAATACAGCATTCATAATGGCGATAAAAGCTTGTCCATAGTGCCCAGAGTCTCAGCTTTGATCTTAAGTCCTTGGCGTTTCCTCTGAGGCTACTGATAAATGTATCAGTTACTCTGCCGCATGCTTCCTTTGTGACCTTCGGGAAATCTCTAGAGCAAATTAGATGCTTTAGCTTTCTCAGCAGTAAAATATGGATCTTAATCCTTACTGATTGCTTAGGGGTGGTGAGAAAGTAATTCAATGAGTAAAAGCACTTTGAGATCCTCAGGTGAAAGGTCCTGTAGAACTGCATTTATTATTTACTTTATATTGTGATATGGACAGTTGTCCCATTGGGACTGGACTGAGATCATTAGCTCACCAAACAGCTGTCTAATGTTAACAACTTTCAATCACTACTAACTTTGACAGTGCTTGAACCAGTGACCTGAAGGAAGAAGAGTTTATGTCTCATTACCCATCATGTGAAACAAGCAAGCGTCTGAAAACTATCGATTTTTTAAAAAAAGGGGGAGGAAATATAATTGCTTAAAAAATAATATTCTCCCCATCAAAAATGTTAATAAAAACATTGTTAAAATGTTTTCATCTCTTATGTTTTGGGTGAGTATGGAGGATGTGGGAGAGTTCTGTATTTCTGTCCACAACATATGTGCCTCGGTTTACCTTCTTAATTTTCTGTCTGAATGCAGAGAATTAAATTAAAGGAAGCTATTCGGTGGAAACAAACAGGAAATGAAACAATAGAGAAAAGATACACTAATGAAAACACTAAGGATCCTAAAGGGAATGGTGGAGGAGCTATGGCTCCAGTTAGGTGATGAGGCTATTTCTCCAGGCCTGAGCAAAGAACAAAGGGACTCGAAACAGTTAATGACTCCAGTATAGGAGTCTTTACAGGAAGGTTGGAATAAGCAAGCAGCAGCAGCTGGCCTTGAGTATTTACAGACACACACTGAGGGCTCATATCCATTTAGTGATGGATCTACACTGTAGTGATCAGTCTAGTGGGCATCAATTTAGCAGGTCTATTTAAGACCCACTAAATCAACTGCCACTCACTCTACTGTTGACTGCCATACTTCACCAGAATGAGATGAGTAAGGGGAATCAATGGAAGGGTTTCTTCTATCAGCCCATCATGGTGTGGACCCCAGGATAAGTAGATCTAAACAAAGTCAATTTAATTTACATTACTATTGTAATATAGTTTAGATTGGTCTGTACCCCTAGTATAGACCTCTCCTGAGATAATGCTATAGAGGCTATCTGTCTGTCTTGATGTAGGAATGGGAACATCCTAGTTTCAGTATGTTACATGCATTGTATAGGCCATGTGTTGTTTTATCCTATTTTTCTGACTACTGTGTTCCAGCTGACTCATACATTAGACTTCGTTAAAAATCAGATTTTTTTTTAAAGAAAATGTATGATAACGACACAAGTGAAGTACAGGTTGGACATCTTTTATTCTGCACTCAGGACCTAACTGGTCCTGAACCAGGGAATTTGCCAGACTAAAGATGGTTCCCTGCCACATCCCCCAGCCGCCAACTCTGCCAGCGGGCTGGGAGAGAAATGGAGGGACTTCCTCTAGTCCCTGCCAGGCTGCCTGCTGGGTCACCTGTTGGGTTGTTGCTGCTGCCCCAACTGGACTGGCTGGGTGGG